AAATTTAAAGGCCTCGAACAGTCCCTGAGCACCACCTGTCCTATTGTGTCTACACGTGTTCGCCCTTCTGGCTCACAAAGGACCTTGCTGGTTACGGTGCATCCAGATCATAGGATAGCATAGCACAGGCATGTGCGAGGCGTGTGTGTATGTATATAATCATTTTATTATCCCATGCTCACACACATTATATATACAGTATATTAGGGATGCACCGATGGCGGTTTTTCGGTACTTGCCAAATACCGATACCGGAAGTCCCATTAAAGGAGAACTCTGGGGTCAGGGCTTTTCCCCATAGTTCTCCTTAGGGTAACGGGAAGAGACAAACTAGCGTCCTCCCGTCACCCTGAGCTCAGTATATAGGGAGCTACAGCTCGCGGTATACTGAGACGCCGCAGCCGGAGCGGATCCCGACAATTGTGCCGGCATCCGCCCAGCTGCGTGACTGACAGCTGGCTCCTCCTATCTAGAGGCAGAGACAGCTGTACCCGCCCCCTCCCCCGTCCGTTCCGCCAGTCAGCGCTGGAGGATCGGAGCGGGGAGGGGGGACTCCAGCCCCTCCCCTGTCACGCAGAGAGCCGTGACAGGATCGAGAGGTGAGCGATGTGTTCCCTCACCTCCCGATCTACTGAGCCGACATTGACTCGCCGTGCGGCTTCCTCGTTGGCAATCTTCCTAACCAATCGGGAAGCGAGTCATTACACGCTGCCCGGCTTCCTGATTGGTTGGGAAGCCGGCTCTATGCTCCCTCGTCGCCTGGTGATGGAGACCTCCAGTTTTATGGCCAAAAATACCAAAAGCCCGAAATTTCAGGTCAACCTTTGTGCATTGATGCTCAATATTCAGCTGAACCTCCTTGTTTATAACTGCGCCATGTCCAGCAACTAGGGATGCACCGATACCACTTTTTTTAAGAGCGAGTACGAGTACCGATACTTTTGATCAAGTACTCGCCGATACCAATTACCGATACTTTTTCTTAAAGGGACAGGTCACCTTTTTTTCTAAAGCAATACAAACTAATGCTTTAAGGTCACTTTCTTAATATTATGATTCATGAGATGAAGAGGGAGCATGACGCCGGCTTCCCGGCCAATCAGAATGCCGGGCGCTGCGTCATTACACGGCGCCCGGCTTCCGGATTTGCAAGCTTCCTGACCAATCGGGAAGCCGGGCAGCGTGTCATTGCACACTACCCGGCTTCCTGATTGGCCGGGAAGTCGGCTCCATGCTCTCTCATCACAAGTGACGAGAGAGCATGGAGCCATTTCCCGGCCAATCAGGAAACCGGGCAGCGTGTAATGACGCGCTGCCCGGCTTCCTGATACAGGAAGTACTCGTGCTAGGTATCGGAGCATTTGGGCGAGTACGAGTACTCACTCAAATACTTGGTATCGGCACCGATACCGATACTAATATCGGTGCATCCCTACCAGCAACCAACCAGAAGTTCTCTATCGTCTTTGTATGTATTTTGTAGGTTCTCACGAGCGGCCGGGGAGATTCGTCACCTTTTTCTTTTCTTTTTGTTTCAGGTCTCCAAACTTCCAGTTGCGGAGTGCGCTCTCTCCTCGTCATGTGATGAATGCGTACGTGCCAGAGACCCTTTCTGTGGGTGGTGTGTACTCCAAGGAAGGTAGGTGCCCGGTGCTCGGTGTTGTGTTCTATAAACCGGTAATGATCAGTATTATGATGGGAGCGCCAGTGTGCAAAGACGCCAAGACTCGGGCCAAGTACCTCCCATTTCACCGTTTTGGGTCTGATTTTTACCACTGACCCCAGAGAAAGGGTAACTATCCCTCACAGCAGCCCAGGGGCCCAAACTGCGACACAAAATCTATTTATTTATCTCAAAGTGCCAACACTTCAAATAAGTTCGGTATTGTAATAAGTAGGCATGCACCGATACCGGTATTTGGGTACCGATATTTTTTTTCCCCCGGTACTCGCCGATGCCGAGTACCGGAAGTCCGATTCAGGAAGCCAGGCGGTGTGTAAAGACTCGTCATACGGCTTCCCGAGAGGCAAGGATGCTAAAGTGATGAGAAAGCATGGAGCCGGCTTGCTGGCCAATCATGAAAAGCCGGGCGTCGTGTAATGGCGCGGCGCCCGGCTTCCTGATTGGCTGGGAAGCCGGCTCCAGCCTCCCTTGTCATAAGATGACGGCATCCCGGCCAATCAGAAAGCTGGGCGCTGCATCATTACGAGTGACGAGGGAGCATGAAGCCGGCTTCCCGGCCAATTAGAAAGCAGGGCGCTGCATCATTACGAGTGACGAGGGAGCATGAAGCCGGTTTCCTGGCCAATCAGAAAGCAGGGCAGCGTCTAATGACGCGCTGCCTGGCTTCCTGATACAGGAAGTATCGGGCTAGGCATCGGAGCATTTGGGCGATTCTGGCCAGGACGCACTGCCTCGCATTGCGGCCGGCTCACTTTTTAGTGGGGCAGGAGGGGGGCGTGACGGGCCATTCAAGGGAATGGCACCGTAGCCACGCCCTCCTGCCGCAATGCGATTGGCCGCATGGGAAAGCAAGCACATCAATGCCGTGGTCTGGTCCGGTCCGAACAATATGCTGCAAGCACTATTTCGTTAGGACCGGCCCGCAGGCACAATGTGCCTTGCGATCCCGTGCGGGCGAGGTCGTGGCTACGGTGCCATTCACTTCAATGGCCCACCACGCCCCCTCCAGCCCCGCTAAAAAGTGAGCCGGCCGCAATGCGAGGCAGTGCGTCCGGGCCGGAACGCACTGCAACTGGTGTGAACGGGTCCTAAATGTAGATTAAAAAAACTACCCGCCTGTCGCCCGGAACTGCATGTCCCGGGCGTCGGGCGATAGGATTTTGACACCCCTGAGTAGGCTCGTGGTCCACCAGAGGGGCCTCTGCGTGCCCTCTATGGCATGCGTGCCCTCTATGGCATGCGTGCCATAGGTCCGCTACCACGCCTTAAAGCGACCAGCTAGTGCAGGAAAAGCTATTTTTCTATATAGTAACACTAAGCAGACTTGAAAGGGCCAAGGTGCATAAAAGTGTATCTAAACCTCCAAACAAGGACATAAGTGGGGTTTCCCCTGCCCCTGCTATTGGGGGGAATGTAACCGGAGGAGCCGGGGGCCTCACAGAACTGCCAGGCGGACAGGAACAGAGTCAGGACAGGATGATCTCGGTTTCATGGTAACAAAGATATTTAGGAAGCCCGGGGCTGACTCCGCTAACGTATTACTTGTCAGTGGACACACCTTTAACCCCTTAGTAGTTTTGCAATGCCGGTCACGCAAACTCCTTTTTATTGCCTAGTAACGCGGCTCCATAACATTCTTATATGCTGTAAAATGCTGTTTTATGTCGGATAATTATGGACGTTTGTCACCCGTAATACTGTTCTCATCATTCTGTTGTCTGCTTCAGATGCCTGTAGATGGCTTGGTAGGAGCGGTGTGACAGATTCCTGTTATATATCACGTGTAACATTCAGGCCAGTGGCAGGTAACAATCGCCATAGCGACCCAGGTCGGCCATTATTATTATACAGGATTTATCGAGCGCCAACAGTTTGCGCAGCGCTTTACAATATAAGGAAGACATTACAGTCACAATACAATTCAAGACAAGATGGTAAGGAGGGGCCCAAATTGTTTGAGGGCACGGGGGGGCCCGGCCGGAACATCCCCGATGCCGTGCGGGCCGTCTGGGTCGCTATGGCATCTCAGGCTGCTGGCTGTCACTGGCGGCTGTGAGGAGGAACGTGTTGCGGTTAAATCACCGACAACCTGTCAATTATGTGTGCAGCGGCGCATTCCTCCTCACAGTCGCTGCAGAGTCAGTGACAGCCAGCAGCTGTGGAGGAGGAAGGCGGGCCCCCTGCGACGGAAGAAGGTGGGCTGTGTGTGATATCAAATGGGCTCTGCAAGGGGGCATAACTAGAAATCGCAGGGCCCCATACAAAATGTTGCTATGGGGCCCTGTGATTTCTAGTTACGCCCCTGATGTAAAGGTTAACCAGAGGGAATGCAAATATGGGAGCTGGCAAACGCAGGGTTAACAGCCTTCCTCTCGCTCTCAGTGGAGGGCAGAGCAAGCAGCTGCGGGTCTTCTGATCCCTATGCCGTGTCATTGAAAAATAGGGCAGATCGCTCCTAAATCACAAAGGGGCCGGCACCCCCCAGAAGCAGGATCTGCTCCACTTTTCTCAGTTTAGAAGAGCGGTGCAGGCTTTATGACAGCGACACTCCTTTTTTTTTTCTGTTATTTCCACTAACTTTTTTAAAGGCGCCTGTAGAGGTAGAAACATCTGTAACGTGACTCGATGATGCTTCCGTAGGACAAGCGAGTGGCTAATAAGATCGCATGCGTTGCATCAAACATTACTTCACTTCCATGCATCCAGAGATGGAACATTCAAACTCAGATCATTTGCATGGCAATCAAACGAAATTCTTGAGAGCTCCATTTATCTTCCACATCGGTGCCTGCGTTGCTGAATGCTCTGACGCACAATCTTACAGCAGCAAGTACCGACATCCGATCGGACTGTGTATATCTAGCTCCCTGGTTCTCAACTGGTGGCTCGTGACCCAAAAGTGGGACGTGAACGCATGTTTAGTGGGTCGCCTCGTGCCCTCCACCCAAAGCTAAACTAAACAAATGTGACTATATATTTGCTGTGAGCCCTGACTAGGGAATTAGCTGGAGAGGTCGGGACTGAGGGGGGCGGGATAGTTTATAGGGGGTTTCGCTTTTTCTCTTTACTAATCCTTCTTCTATCTGATTCGCAGGTGCACAGAGAAGCAGCAGTGCGAGAACAGCGACGCGGCTAACCATTGGCTGTGGAGCTTCGACGATCAGACCCGCTGTTTGTCCATCCGGGATCTCTCGCCAGCCAATCAGAGCCGGCAGGAGCAGACGGAGGTGTGTGATTGGAGAGAGTGGCCAACCATGGTTTTATGGTAGCCATGAGAGAAGATGATGAAGGGGCAAGAATATAAAGAGGTCTGGGAGGAGCGGAGAGGACGAATTGGGTGATAATTTGAGATGAGGATGGTGATGGAGCTCGGGTCAGAGTGGCTTTGTACGTTGTATTTAGAGTTAGGAGGGGGAGCCAGTGGAGTGATTGGCAAAGAGGGGCGGCTCCCACCGAACGGTTGGTAAAGTAAATAACACTGGCAGCAGCATTCATGATACTGAAGAGGGAGGAGCCTGTGTGGAGGTTGGCCAATGAGGAGAGTCCAGGGGATCAATAACAATGGAGTGATTTAGGGGCTTTGACTTGTCACTGGTTACGTAGGGGTGAATTTTGGAAATGTTAGGAATAGAAGATTTAGATGTGAAGCCAAAAGGAGAGGTCAGTCTCCAGGAGTACACCTAGTAGGTAGTCATTGTTGTTGATTACAATGGAGAATTTGGAGGAGGGGGGGAGGAAATGTTATGATCCCAATTTTGACCAGATTGTGTTTAAGGAAGTGATGGGACACCCATGTTTGATATGTCAGTGAGGGAATTAGGGATGCATGAGGAGACGGGAGGGATGAGCTGAGGAGTAGAGAGATAGATTTGGGTGTGTTCAGCATAGAGATGGTATTGGAGGCTGTGGGAGGTTATGAAATGACCGTGGAAGGTGGAGATGGAGAGTAGGAGGAGCCAGAAGGCCAAGCCTTGGAGGACCCCTATGAGGAGAAGAGTTGTAGGTGGCACTGAAGGTGTGCTGAGATAGGAACCATGAAGGAGCAGAGGCTTGGAGGCCAAGGGAGTGAGGTTTTTTGAGGCATGGATGGTCAATTGTGACAAAGGCAGCAGAAAGGTCTAAGGGTGTAGGGTATAGGTTTTAGCAGCTGGTGAGTTCTAGGAGTGTTGCAGACAAAAGCCAGATGAAAAAGGGTTGAGAAGCCTGATAACAGCGAGGCGGTGGCTCAGATGGATGTAGACTAGGTGTTCAAGAAGTCTGAAGGTAAACGGGAGCAAGGAGATGGGTCTTAAGTTGTTCAGACTGGTGGGGTCCAGCGGGGGCTTTGTAAGAATAGTCATATTACAGTTACTATGTATATGTTAGGACCGGGCTGGACAAATCCCGAGAGCCAGGTAGCTAATGCTCCCTCAGGATTACAACTGGCGCCCAACGTTTGAGGTTTTCTCTAGTTGTTCTCAATGGAACTGTCTCCTTAAAGATATCCCACTGGCTCCTGGATTGGGGTGGACTGGCTCCTGGATTGGGGTGGACTGGCTCCTGGATTGGGGTGGACTGGCTCCTGGATTGGGGGGGACTGGCTCCTGGATTGGGGTGGACTGGCTCCTGGATTGGGGTGGACTGGCTCCTGGATTGGGGTGGACTGGCTCCTGGATTGGGGTGGACTGGCTCCTGGATTGGGGTGGACTGGCTCCTGGATTGGGG